CTGTTTTTCTATTTTTACCTTCATGCAGTTTGTTCTGATCCTGTCTCACGTCTCTTCAAACTGTCTTTGGCAAAAGGATTCACTTTTTTTACAGCGATCCAGACTCTTTAGAGTAGATGGAAAGGGTTAGTATGTTGCTTTGAAGGTAGAGAAAGTTCTGAAGTGATTTCTCATGCTGTCACCATGAAGAGCTGGCATTTCACCATCTAACATCTGACCAAACAGAATGGTTTGGCCAACTTGATCAGAAGAGACATATCCAACCCTCGTAAACAAAGAGGTGATATCGGTTGGCAAGAAATGGTTGAGCAACCGGAATGATCTGGTCATGATTTAATCCGATTTGCACAGAACCTGCAGGTGCACCACAGTGTTCAGCGGGTTTTAGGGATGAGAAGAGCCATGTTGTCACCGGGCAGATCAGTCCGTTGCCCCGTACATACCGGCAGCGGCCTAAGATCGAATCCGGTTGTGTTTCGGGTCTGCACAAGGCCAGACGGTTGCATCGTGCGTTTCCTCAGCAGGTGCGGTGGACAGATGTCACAGCTGCATGATACGGGACCCAACTGCAGCACCAGAACCCGGTCAGTCATCCAGCACCGTGTTAGAAAGACTGGAGCTTTGCACAGGAGGCTTTTTAATGTTTACAACGCAATATAAAGATCCCTGCATGATGTGGACCAACAGAAACCTTTATGATGTTTGGGTTAAAACCAAATGGTCAAAATCAGACATAACAGATCTGGGTGCCTGATCTTTTACATTTTATATATATATATATAATGCTACACGTGAAAATGTTGCACTAGCTCACCCAGAAAACACCCGTCATTGCTTTTGGGATGTTACAGCAGAGAAAGTTAGAGCAGCATGTGGTGTTGAGGTAAAACGGGGGCTCTGCATGCAGACGCTTCTGGCTTTCACCACGTTCGTGAGGACCTCAGCGCCTTCCTCCATCTCTCTCTGCCCATTTCCTGTCTGAATGTCTGTGATTAAAGGGCACTGGAGCCACAAAGTTTAAAATAAAACAAAACAAATAAGTCAAAGAAAAGCTAACTCGTTGCTGCCGTCACAAATGACACAATTCGTTTTTATGCAAATGCCGCATTTCATGCGGGAGCGGCAAACGTCAGCTCATGAACAGTCACATGAGAAAAAGAGGACATCATTTTTATTTATTTAATTTATAAACATTTATTTGGACACATAAATATTTAATGCCCATTTCAACAATATTGAGAGCTTTGGGGTTTTTTTTAATGATCATCAAGAAGTGAAAAAATATTTTTTATAAGTTTTCTGAAGGACATAAAAAATGCATTTTCTTGTGACGAATAATTGTGAAAACACCAATTTGAAATGGTTAAAATTACATGAAGATGCATCACATTTTGTGTCGATGGTCGGAACGTTTCATCACGCCTGGCGAGGCATTAACTGCTGTTAATGGGGAAGTGCAAAGAGAATTTACAAGCCTAATTTTCACGGTAGGTGCGGAAGAACGAACTCTGTGTTCTGAAATAAAGATATGAAGAACACTGATGTTTCCCCAAAAGAGCCTAGACAAAGGCCAGGACGAGGGCAGCCAGCATCTCTGCACATCCCAAACATTCTTGAGACAAATTGTTTCAACTCTTACCTCCAGCTCAGCAGTACAGAGAGCTGCTGCAAACACCGGTCGATGGTGAAGACATGAGCATATTTGGACTGTAGCAATTCTCCTTATTTGTATGTATAACAGAGGCAGGCAATATATGCACATATTTCATTTTATGTACATTTTCTGTATTTACTTTGTGCGCAGCTAGAATTTGAAAACCACAGTCAGATGTATTGTTTTTGCACCTGATCTCAGCCTGAAAAGACGATACTGATTTGCGAAATAATGATTTCAGGGCAACAGATGTTTTAACATTTAATTGTTAAAACATCCAGGTAGAGGACATGCTGGTAGTAGAAACCAGAGGCAGCTCTTCTTTTTGTGGGAAGAACACATCAACGCCTCTAATGCATGTTGCTTCTAGATATTGCATGTCACACATTTTTCTCCATCAAGTTTTCTTTCAAGAAAACTTTAAAGATGAAGTCACAGATGAGCCTAGGCCTGATGGTTGCTAGCCTATCCAATGCTAATGCTAGCCTATCCTTGTTAAGGGAAGATGGAGGAAGAAATCAATCCAGTACTTGAAGTAAGCACTCTGTTACGCAGAATATGCTTAGGAAGATAGTAGCAGCTAGCATGTTTCTAGGCATGCTAGCTGCTACTGTGTCCAAAGTTATTGCCAGCTTATCCATGCTAATGAAAAGGAGGGGAAGATGGTAATAAAGTGATTGACCAGCCTAGATATGCTAGCTATTAGCCACTGTAATTGAGGCATGCTAATGCTTGCCTATACATGCTTATGTACAGCAGAGAAAATAGGCAGTTTAATGGGCGATCAACCTAGACATGTTCGCCGTCAGCCTCTCTAGGCTAGGCATGCTGGTTGCTAGCCCATCCAATGCTAATGCTAGCCTATTCGTGCTCATGTACAGCATAGGGAGAAGGAAGTCCATGTGGTACACAGCTTAGATTTGTTCTTAAAAGATAGAGTTGCAGATGGCCAGCCTAGCCATGACAGTTGCTAGCCTATCTAATGCTAATGCTAGCCAACAAAGCTAAAGCAAGTGAGTAGTGTAATTCCCATTTGTGAGTATTGTGAGCTATCAGTGTCAGTCAGTCATCAATCAGATCAGTAGCTAGCTTCTGTTAGTGCGCATTTTGGCACTAATACTGTGCCATAAAAATTATTAGGTACCTGAAGGGGCTTTATAAAAACATGAGACTGTAGAAATAAAAAAACCTGAAGCTGAACTGAAGCTTCCAACATAACAAACATACCACTAAATCCATCACTGACCAGAAGTTTCTTGCAGCTGTTATTTGAGTTGTTGGACGTTTCTAATTTTGAAAACATATTTTTCTTTATTTGTTGAAGAAGTAGCTAACCAGAATATGTGTAATTAAATCACTTAGTAAATCACTTAGTAAAAAAAAAAAAAAGAAAAACCTTTACGTTCCCATCACTTGAAGATGTTATCTTCCCTAAGGATTAAGAGGCTTTGTGAATAAATCTCAAAATGTCATCTTTTTTCTTTTAATGTTTTATACATCTTAAGTGTTTTATATATGTGTATAAATGCTCGCTACGTCGCACAAAGCAGACCCAAGCTAAATCACTCTGGAAAAGGCCACATCAACAAGAGCCACATTTCCCATACATCACTTTAGCTTTATGCTCCACGTATATAAATGCTTGTGAATCTTTCCATATAAACATTTCAAACGGTGGAAACTAATAAATGGAAACTGATTGATGCCCTTTAATCTCTTTTAGGGTTTTATGAGCTTTGTGTCAGTTCCTCTGTGGGTTGTTTAAAAGAAACCAATATTGGTTGGAACTAAAGAAAAGCTCCTATTGACTTTCTCTAATCAATTCTTAGTTTACGATAAATCTACTACTTGTAGATTTTCAATGGATCATGAAGAGATTGTTAAGTTTGATGCATATACTCATGAGGTAAATTTTAGGACATTTTTTTTAAATTGATGCAATATTTAGTTCTTTTTTTGATTGTGCTAACAGTGTAAAGGGAATTAAATTAACCTGGGGACTAAAGTCTAGTCCATGTTGTGTTAGCAGAACAGCGTTGGTGAATCGGGAAGTACAAGCAGGTCCAGTCAAAGGCCTTCCTTCAACCAGCTTCCTCTGGCAAACAACGTCCCTGGATCATGTATGTACCGTGTTCCATTACATGAATGACAAAAGTCACCTTGTGGTACCTGGTAGATTTTTTTTATGGCACAGTACTTGTGCCAAAATGAACACTAATGTCGTGTTCATTTGGAAGTAGTGGCGGCCACTTCCTTGTCACGAGTCACTCAGTCATCTGATTGATGACTGAGTGACTCTGGTAACCGAGTGACAAACAAAGCAGTGTATGAAAAAAATATTCTTGCCCATAATTTGATAGGTAGAGGGCACAGATTCCCCCCCCCCACACACACACACACCTCACCTCCTCACCATGGACCCGATGACTGAACAACATGGAGGCAGAAACTGAGTGATTATTAGACTGAGAGCAGCCAGACTAGTTTATTTAGCTAAATTATTACATTTAGCCAAACATTATTGCTGAGCGGCACAAGCAGGCCTCCTGACACACAGATTTTAAAAATAAAAACTTAAAAAGAAAACTTTTTTTTGAAAAAAAAATAACAATAAAAGGGCACTGGGGGCATCAAGGACCAAAGCGGCAGGGGCTCAAACCCCCTTTGCCCCTCCCCCTCTCTGCACGTGCCTGTACAGACTAAAAATTGCAGGGGTCCGGGCCCCCAAGGCCTGGATTTGCCCACCTCCGGCCTTGAGTGACAGTACAGCAGGCCACATGGTGACTCTGGAGGAGCTGCTACAGCTCCTCCAGAGTCAACAGCTCAGAAAATCTATCAACTAGATAACTTACCATTCTTGCACCCAAAAAACACAAAGCTATTCAAGAGATATAAATACTTATACATCACTGATCATTCTCACCGATCACATATTTAAAAAAAAAAGAACATTTCCCTCAAATCGCCTCAGCAATTTTTTTTCACTTGAAAAACCAAAAAATGCCCAAGACTTTGCCTTCCCTCCGAAAGAGAAGGGAGTAAAAAAAAAATTCCTGTTAATTAGTGAAACCATGTTTCTTTATCAAAAAAAAAAAAAACTTTAAGCAATCAGTCGCCACTGCTGGAGCTGCTGACCCCGTCCACAGGAAGTGGAGCAGGTGTGGGAAACGAAACGCGGAGCGGGGTCTGCAAAATATGAGGCGGCTCATCAAGGCGATGGGTTAAACAGTTTTTTTATGGATCTGTTTTTTTTTTTTTTTTTTTTTTTTTTTTTTGTTGTTTTGTTTTTCACGGCCCTGTTTGCGGCCTGCGGCTCTGCGCGGCGCACTCGCGCTGACAGACGAGCATGGAGACGCCGCTGTTTCTATTTCCTCAATTTAACTACATGGGCCCCAAAGGAGGAAGCATACTGCAGCATGTTTGCTGTGGAGGACTCGCAGTCACGAGCGATGAAGGACGACAGCAGCAGGTTGGTGTCTGGTCTCCACTCCTTCGCGGTCATCTAAAAGACTCGTTTGCGGCAGATTCACTGAAGATGTTTATTAATATGCGTGTAGAAGTGGAACTGCGAGGCGGCAGATTGATTTCGATCAACTCTCAGCACTTTTGCAGCCTTAAGTCTCTCTGCTTTTCATTAAGACTTATCTTTCTTTACCACAAAGGGTGGGGGCCAGTAAAGTGGAAGCTGATTCTTTAATTGCGCGTAATTAATCGTGCGTCAGAGGGAAAAGTCCGCAAATAAGTTGCCGATTTGCTTGTTGTTGTTTTTTTTTTTGTTTTGTTTTTGGAGTATTGATGCATTTTTCTTGCCTTGTGTTGCAGACAGAGAGACAAAGAGAGGAAGAGCCGACTAAGCCTTTTTCTCACCAAGTCGGGCTCCCATGAAAACGTCAGTCCCCATAAAAAGACAGACACGACGACGAGCAAGTGAGGCACAATTCATTATATTCTTTTTTTTTCCCCACGTACAGCCGGCATCTGATGCCAGGCGACCGTGATTCACTTGTAACCTCCCCGAGTTTCCGGCGGGGCCCCTGCAGCCGACTCATTAGGCGGCGCGCATGAAGCCGCTCTCCGAGAAGAAACATTGTCATCATTAGGGAGGATCTGACCGTTTTTTGTCTGACTGTCTTTCTCTCTCACTCTCTCTCTCTTTTCTGCAGCATCTCTCCAGAGGCAGCCCTGCAGTGGAGCGACTCGTTTGAAGAGCTGCTGAAACACGCGGGTCAGTGCGCGCCTCGGAGAGGCTCGTTTAAAATCGCCTTTGCTTTATGTCCGGGCTCGAAACTGGGAGCCGCGCGGCTCGCAGCGATAAACAGAGAACGGAGACGAGTTTCACTACGTCTTTTAACGTTTTGTCAGGACAGGCAGCGAATACAGAAACTGCGCAACTTCCTCTTAATCACAGAAGTGACACTTTTACGGCCCCCACTGAAAACCCCGCGCGCTGTTTTGGGAACGTTTTTAAAGGCGCCTTTAAAGTTATTTGCAGACCTGCTGTGAATATTTTGAATGTTCTTTTTGTTTTTTTACTTAAGTTGCATTAAATACCAATGTTCCAGTTTGAAATTGGTGGGTTTCTGTCATACCTTTTAAAAAGGCATTAAGGTGCAGAACATAAATATCAACATGGAAAATGTTTTCTAGAGATTGTTGAAGGAAAACCAGTTACCAGTTAGAGCCCATTGACCACAGACCAACTAAAAGCTAATGAAATTAGATGGACATAAACTCCTGATGAATGTCAATCTCAGAAGACCTACTTTCCACCAGTCACTCATCGTTGACGTGAAAGTCGGTGCTATTTTCTATAACTAAAGTTGACGTGTATAACTTTATAGGAAACATCTGTTTTACATCGTGAGACTGTCACTGTGTCCTGACGGTTTAGTGAGACAGATAATCTGAGAAATGTCAGCCTTCTCCCAGTCGTTCCCTTATATGAATGCTAATACTAAATTAGCGTAGCTTGCCGATGATAAATAGTTTTCCTGGAACGGTGAGTTGTGTTGCTGCCATCAGCACATGAAGTGGCACGAGCACGAGCTTGATTGACAGCACTAAGGCCCCTCCTACTGGATCTGATTGGATGTTTCTGCAGTAGCTAAGGTAGGAGGTGGAGGAGAGCGAGCTTTTCACGGATTATCTGTCTCGTCATGTGGCGTCAGGACAAGGTGACAGTTTCACAAATACGCGACAAAGGATGAAAACATGGAAAACATGACGCATTTTATGCACATGGAGTGTTCATGATTGTCTATGACTGTTTCCTGACGTGTCATTCTGTAAATAATGACAATTTCAATCCAAAGTTGACACTTAATACACTTTTAATGCAACGTTTAGCACAACGTTGCATTAAAAGTGTCACATACACCAGATTTAAGGACTTTAAAGACACATAGAACGTTTGATTCTCAGACGTAAAGGGGGAAGGTTATTTTATTGGTTGTTTAATTGGTCTTATTCAAATTTATTTTAAATAGGTTGAGTAAGAATGGGGCAAAACACGTTAAGGATCAAAATTCGGAGAGAACAAATGAAAGAATCCACATCAGAATCTGCTCAGGATTACAAGAAAGTGGCTATCCGGGTCCAAGTGGTGTCATTTCTATTGTTCACAGAACAGGCCATGTTCTCTTACAGATAGCTGTGAACACAGAAGAGTTCATTGTTGGCCAAAGAGGTCACTTCTAAACGGGAAGTGACACTGATCTCTTTTAGTCAAGTTGGGAAGTTTGGACTTTCTGCAATGCTAACAGGCTAATATGATAAAATGACCAAAACAGTATTTGACAGAATACTGCAGAAAAGTTGATCGACAGTCTCTGTATGTCCAGTAGTGGAACATGTTGCTCTCACACTTTGTGATTCTGTTTTTTTCCAGATGGGGTGGAAACCTTCTCTCAGTTCCTCAGGACGGAATTCAGCGAGGAAAACATCGAGTTCTGGTTGGCCTGCGAAGAATACAGGACCATCGATTCAGAAGCCAAGCTGCTGTCCAAAGCCAAATATATTTATACTATTTTTATTGAATCGGAGGCTCCTAAAGAGGTACGGCGGTGGCATCTTTATGTTCTCCAGAACTGCGCAGATTGAATTGTGCTGAGCTGTGAGCATTTAGCGTCTTCTTAGCTCATCTGCCACTGAGGACTGGTTGATTTGAAATATTTATGTCGGCGTTATAAAAATAACCGTGGGCGAGAACTAACGCAGTCCATCGCCATGAGCCTGTGGCGAGCTGACCTTTGTGAACAATCATTAGGTGCAGCAGCTTGCTGAGGTCATGTGCATGCATGCTGCAAACAAGCAGGCTGAGTTATTTCTGAGCGTGAGACGGCTGCGGTTTCCAGACAATTTGCGCTTGATGATGCGACCACCATCTGAGGCGCCGCCGTTCGAAGCCTGCAGCAGCTCAGGCCTCTGAGGAGTCTGCTCGTCTGGTTTGAGGTTTTGAGCTGTCTTTGCAGAGCTAAACAGAGCATCTCCCACACGCTTTCAGTCTAGAGTGAACACACATTTAGGGGTGAAAGGCTTTTTTTTTTCTCCTCTTCTTCTTTTTTAGCACAGCAGCTTGACTAACGTGAGCGTCGTAGTTCCTGTTGTGGACGGTTCGTTTGCAGAAGAGATAAACTCCTACCACCAGCGCGTAGGATAATAACGCAAGATATGACGAACTCGTTTCACAAACGGCATTTCTAAAATCATAAAAATGTACTAACGCGCTTCCTCGAGCAAATGTGGGACTTCCCCCTGTCTTTCTTTGGGGAACCTTTCTCAGTCCTTTATCTGTTGACATATTCCACATCGTGAATCACATAAATAACTTCCTGATGCTTTTGCTACTGCTCAATAATAAGTAGAAGTAGGGCTGCAGCGAACAATCCTTTCAGTAATTCACTATTCTGCCGATAAATAATCATGGGTACACTGCAGATTTTTCATTTAGCCACTTAAGCTTATTTTATGCATACAAAGAAGGGTTATTTAATCAAAAATGAAAAATGGATATATTTGTATACAGATTTGGCTTAGTGATTGCTGAGTATGTTGCCATTTCCTCAAATTGCATGTTTTAGAGTCTATAATCTAGTTGGCGATTAGTAAATTAGTTGACAATTATTACAGTCACAATTAATCCCATTAAATGTTTCAACCCTGATTCAAAGCAGGCATTCATTGTTAGGACTTTGTGTGACTGGCCAACTCAAAGTACTGCAAAATTGGTAAGTGGCAGTAAAATGACACATTTTTTCTTTGTTTTTACAAATATAATATGGTCTCTATGGTGTGGTGGGAGCAAGGAAGCCATAAGAAGTTTGCAGTTTGCACCTAGCTGTGTGGGAGACTCACTGAGTTAGCATTTAGCAAAACAATGTGAAAAAATGCATTTAGCAAAACAATGTGAAAAAATGTCAGCCTCCAGGCTGGTAGTGAGTCCAAAAGACCTGCAGCCATAATTACAGTCAAATCTGATTGGTTGGATTATAGATATAAGCACGCTTTTACAAATTTTATTGTGAAACTTCCCAAATATGCACTACTTTTTGTTGGCCTAGCCCATAAAATAGGAAGTTTGAGGTTATAATGTGACAGAACCTGATAAGTTTGAGGGCTGTCCAAATCTTGACCAACAAAACTAAAATCGTGCGCATCTCTCTGTTGGATATTTGATTTTAATGCGCCACCTGTGAGCCGTGTCTCCTGTTCTAACTGGTTATACTTGATATTTGACCTTGTTTTAACTCAGGTCAACATCGACTACAACACAAAGATGGCCATCAAGAAAAACATGGAGCACCCAACGCGGGGCTGCTTTGACGCAGCCCAGACGAAAGTCTTCAGCCTGATGAAAAAGGACTCCTACCCGAGGTTCCTGCACTCTGACATTTACATGCGCATCACTCGGAGGAAGGGCCCCGGATCCACCATGTTCCGCAGAAGGTCGCGCTCCTGCGTGTTTAACGAGCGCGGGGAAGCCAAAACCGAGCCCTCGGCTTGGTAATAGCAAACGTTGCACAGCTGTCTGGAATGGATTCGCCATCATCCCGGCGGACCGACACTGATTTGCAACACGACTGTTGAGACACGACGTGGTGTCTTAATTTAGGCCCCACAGGTTCTGATATGTAGAGTGCAATATTTTTGTGTAACCACAGATTTCACAATGGATAGCTTCTCAGACAGCACCACAGTGAATTGACATTAATAGTCATTCAAATGTACAATTTGGGAAATATTTTCTTCCATTAGTTTCTATCCTCGCTTCAGCTTGATAAATTTTATCCTGTGGTTTTACCTTAGAAACTGCTAACAGAGAAGGACAGAAACTATTACTATTTTAATTTACTTATCTTTATTTTCATGACGGTTTTTGTTTCATTTTTAATATCTGTCTCGGAAGTTGGAGCCTGGATCTATATTAGTAATCATTTCTGAACCTTCCTGGGTTCCAGGTACGATTTATAAAAACCACTATGGTTTGTTTCTTCATGACCATGCTAATAGCAATTAGCCTCCCAAGCTAATGATGACGGTATTCCTCAGAGGTTTATCCATCCAAACACTGTAGCACCATTTTTAACCAACCAGAGTATGGACAATGTTATCATTAGAATTAATTTATTAACTTTATGAAACAAGCGTGAGCATAGCATGGCTGCCATATTGGATTTTCAGGCCAGATTGTGTGAGAAATGTCTGACCTTTCAAGATGAAATTCCAACTCTGCGAAGGAAGTCATTTTTTTCTAATATTAAAGTTGGAAATTATAACTTATACAATTTCTGTCAAATGATTCATCGCAGTAATGAACTTTTTTGAAACCTGCCATGCTTTTGGACGCTTGCTACCCATTTGTTTCCTAGCAACTGTATTTTCGTTATTTTGTTTTGTTTCCCCACTGTGTTTTTCGCTAAGCTAGGGCTAACGTCACGCAGACGCGAGCATGTTGACAATGCTGTCGTTTTCACGCTCGCCTTGAAAACGAAAGGGCATCATTACCAGAAATGGGGATGTATGCATTCCGATTATTCACTTAGCACCCACAGCCCAAATCCATCCTGGGAGGTTATTTAGCAGCAGTAACATTTTCTGCTCCATCGGCTAAAATATGCCGAGCCCAGAAAGGGGACTGCTCCGCTGGGCGCTTTGTGGATGCGGCTGCCATTGTGGTGCACTGAATCACAGCAGCCTTCAGTGAGGATTTTCTCTTAAGACTTTCTTAAACCTTCCCAAAGTTGAAGGAGAGTGGAAACGTTCGAGGAAGGGATGCGGTTAAAGTGCTTGTTGAGGCACATTCAACGCTTTGTCCCCCCTCTGCGCGGCCGCCGCTTCAGATTCAAGCTGTTGCGCTTCAGTTTTCATCAAAACTGATGACTTGCGTCTCTTGCACTGTCGACACTCCCATGTGAAAGACAAGCAGGTCATATTGACTGCAAAGCACCTCGCTGTCTTCTGAACATCGGATTAGATCATACATGTCTGCTTGTCGTGATCAGATTCCCTTCTTCTCTGAATACTAATATTATGTCACATTACGATTGCTGTTTTTCAGTTGCCATCTAATATAATTTATGTATTACTTGATCTCCTTTGGTATTCAACTGCTGCAAAATGTACATACTGTATGTGGAGAACATCAAATAAAAATAATGGAAAAAAACTTTGCTGTAAATTTCTATGTTAATGAGCCCATACATGACATTAATTGCTTTGAGTGAACAGGACAAATAGAGCTGTAATGTGCAAATATTAAGCCAGTGGGAAACACCGGTTGCATGTGCCTCGGCTATACAAAATCACTGAAAAATTAATGACCCATATCAGCTCTAACCACTCTAGAGTGGAATTATTTATGTTGCTGTATGGATGGGGCGAGCTGGGCGAGTATCAGCCCAGACGTGCCTCTGCAGAACATCTGCATATTTCCAACACGCCGAGATTACTGTATGTACGGACAGCATCTGGGTTCGCCTCATTTGCGCTCAGGTTTCCAGTCGCCTTCGCAAGGTGGAAGTCCTTCGCGGAGCATGTTGGTGTCAATCTCCCCGAAATCTGTCCTGAATATCTCACAATTCACCTTATTTATTCATCCCCCCCTGGAAGGCGGCGGCACACGCGCTGGGCTTTGGCAGGGTGAAGGTGTGGGTGGCACAGCGGTCATGATTTCCTCTTAATTGCCCACCAGCAAGAGCAAACATGGATCCGAAAGTTTCCCTGTCAAGCAAGTCACCACCGCCGAACAACTCCTCTTAAAGGGGTAGCACCGGTGGTAGAGATCTCCCCAACGGCGTCTGAGTGTCATTGAAATCCAGATGAAGCTTCTGGCTGCTGTGAGACGATCCAACGGCAAAGCAAAGCAGACTTCTGCCATCTTTAAATTAGAACATTGAAAACATTTCCTCTGAGCTACTAATAAGTAAGGCAGCCTGGAAGGAAGTCTATAAAATCACCATAACTTAAATTAATGAGACCTTTAAAAATTTTACGCTACTTTACCACAGTGATCATAATGGCTTTTTTGTGTCTAAATGATGCAGAAAAGTGTAGGGTAAAATTGGGTCTTTATATATATATATATATATATATATGTATATATATATATTTGTTTTAAAGGTAAAAATGTAAACTTGTTTCATTTCTGAGAGAGAGAGAACCATTAAAATAAGAACAGAAAGATCTGGGCTGAAACTCTGGAGCCAACACCTTTTTATTTTTTAAAAGGAACTAAACCCCCACACACACACACACGTTCCTTAAATAATATATATAGGTTTAGAGCTTTTCATCTGTCCCAGTCTGAAATTATTACTACTATGAAATTTTCTTTGTTTTCTTTTTGACAAATACAAATTTTACCGCAAATAGCCAACATCCCCGAGATTAAAACCGCCTGCTTTAATGGTGCAAACAGCAAAAATTGACTTTTGATCCTTACATATTAAGTTCTCTTATCAAAAATTATTTCATGCACATTTGAGAAATACTTTAATCTCCATTCAGCTGTGGATAACGTCTCGTTGGACCTAGCCCCGCCTTCGAGGACGAAGCTCCTCCTCAGAGCTGCAGCTTCCAAGCAGAGCAGCCGTCTCACAGGGCGGCCCTCCCCTACGACTCTCACAGTCAGCTCCTTCAGACTAGCCAGCAGCAATTAGCAAACATCTGGTAGAACTGTTCCATCTGTGGCGCTTATTATATGAACTGTTTCTGAGTTCAGCGCTCAAACCAACATTTCGAAAGGCTTAATAGAGGAATGTTGATGTGATGACATCCTGAAGGCGGAGTGTCAGAATAAGCAGGAGCTTCTGAAAGGGACAAAGGCACATTCTGTCTTTATTTGAAAGTAGTCTGACAGGAATGAGAGAAGCGCAAGACATGTGACAAATGTCACCAGGCCGGGAATTGAACCTGCGACTACCGCCACAAAGAGGACCACGTTTCTCCATACATGGGCCATGCTTTGCCCCTGCGCCACTACAGAATACCATTCTGCTGTTTTTTGCATGATACTCAAGCACCTTTGTGGCATTTCTGAATTTCTAGTTGTCTAATTGTAGACCCCACAGCGACCAGGCAGTTTGACTCTAAAGTCAAGACTTTAGAGTCTTAACACTGACTCATGGGAGTGAAGTGTGTGAGTTAGCCTCAATGTCATTATTAGGTTTAATGCTCAGTAGGAGTTTTTATGTCAAGTTGTTATTACCCTGAGGGGCATGCTTGACATTTATTAATCCAAGTAGCTGTTTCACTCAGGAAGATCAGTGGTGGCGCACAGGGCCAACCTCAGTTTCAAGTTGTCATCGGCTTGTTTTAGAATACCAGTTCAAACCTGACATGGATTTAAAAATGAATTAAAAACAACTTTCCCACAAACCACTTTGATGCTGTTGTGATTGGACTCGCTCTAAGATGATGAAGTCCGCTTTGGTCTTGGCTCCTCTCGGATTAGCCTCCCGCTTAAGCCTCCATGGCCGACCACTCTGGATTAGTATTAAATCCATTATATATTTCAGGTGACGTTTTTGCTTATAACCTTTTAATAGAACCTGACTTCCAAATTTCTAAAGGAATTTCAAAGCAGTAATCAGTTTGGCTGAAGAAATAAACATAAAAATGTCGATAAATGCTAATATGAGGCGACCAATAAGCAAAGTAGCTTGTTTTAAAATTGGCTTTTTCGAGCTTTACATGATGTTATAATGTTATTCCCTCATCAGAAACTTGCCTGGAGCGTTGCAGTGATTCTCTCCATGTATGTTTGAGAAATCCTCGAATCTCCCGTGGCAACCATTTAGCTGTGGGAAATGCCTGGTTAGACTTACAGCCACCTTCGGTTTCAAGTTTCTGAGCTTCGGCCTCACAGAGCACGACTCCCCCACTCAGTTCCTTCAGACTAGCCAGCAGCAATTAGCAGTACCTGGTGGATCAGCTGACGTTATTGTGCTAGCTACTTCTCAGTATAACACTGGTAAAAAACATTGTTAAAGGTTAATGGAGACACATTGTGATGACTTCCTGAAGGTGGAGTTTCAGGAAGAGCAGGAGCTTCTTCAAGAAACAGGCCCAAGAACAGGCATAAATTACAAAATCAAAGTCTTCAAAGTCATATGATATATGACAACTGAAGTTAACATAGTTACTTGCTATAAAATGCCACTATGTGCCAGGAAAATATGTACCGACCCTTTAAAATGTCCAAATAGCAAGCTTAGCTCATAATTTCTCAAATAAACAAACTAAAAGATTCCAATTCCACCAAGATAATCAGGAGTGTTGTGTCCCCAGGCTAAATACTCCACAAGGTTTACGCAAGTTGATCACATCTCAGAAGCTCTTTTATCTGACCCCATGTGAGACAAATGTGGAGATTATTTGACTGCCAGACTCAGATATGGAGCTGCGAAATCCACCCCCTTGAAAATCCGTTTTCACTCGACGCCCGCAACCGTATCGACGGACCTGGATAAATCTCAGCGCAACTGCAGACACAAGGCCACATTAAGCTTTGAAAGACTCAAGGCGAGTGCCTCCTCCCCTTCCAACGCGATGAAGCAGCACAAACGTGTTCAGATGATGCCGTTAAAAAAGCCTACCCGGCGCCAAGTCCCCTCCGCTTCCCAAAGTGTGTGAATGGTGTGGAGAACAGGTGGCAGGTTTCTCTATCGGCCAGCTACACACTAAATATCAGGGTTCTGAGAGGCTGCCAGCAGCGTTAGATCTATAGAGCTGTGCCAGATATGAATCATTATTAAAAGGGTTTTTTTTTCACCGCCATCTTCCTCATCTGCTCATCCCATCAAAGTGAACAGAAGCTGTGCAAAACAGTAGAGAAAGATTACTTAGTTACTGAATTACTTTTAAGGCTTTCTAAATGTGTGTGTGTGCTTCAAGGTCTTTTTCGGTTCTCTAGGTTTTATTCAACCGTGGTCAGACATGAAGTGGGTTATGAGAGAGGGGGGAGATAGTGAACAAGCACAATGGGCCGGGACTCGAACCTCTGACAGCCAGGGCAGAAAGGAAGCCATCCATATATGGGTCTCTTCCCTTGCGTCACGTCGCGCCTGCTTCTTTTCTTTTTCTTCTTTTTCTTTTTCCACCTGCTGCCTGGAGCCTCAGTGGAGGAATCAAAAACCTGTTCAGGTTCAAATGAATAAACCCAGCAAGACCAACAACAAAGGGAGAGTCTGACGAATCCAGGGCTGCTGTAATTACACAACATAATGGAGTTCAGAGAAGCGGAGAGAGAGAGAAGAGCTGCGGAGGACTACAGTGCCTCCGTGTGCAAGATGAAGGTACTGAAACCCTTTCTAATGAAACTATGAAAACAAATTAGGTGCTCTTTAACAAAATGTGTCTTTTTCAGATAGTCGGGAAGCACTCCGCTGTCTGTAACCTCTAATGGCGGTGGGAGCGGAACAGTACGCTATGAAATGACCAAAAGAAGAAGGAGAAGAAGCAAAAAAGGGCTTTAATCTGGACGGGAACTTCACAGCAGCAATGCAGCGGCCGCGCGCACCCGGTGGCCCTTTTTTGAAAAACAAAATCCTCGACTTGCTGCATCTCCTCACATGCAAATAGGGGTTAGCCTGGGTGTTTTCCATCATCTGCTGAGATTTACATTCTCTCCTTGTTTTGGTTCTGTCACATTTTCAACCAATGGTCAATAAGGTCAGCGAAGGAGGGGGGAAGAGAGATGGAGGAAGAGAGAGAGAAAAAAAGAAGCACCATTTGTATGTGCAGTATGTGTGTGTCTGTGTGTGTGTGTGTGTGTACAACCAGCAAACCCAGAGGAGAAGTGAACACTCATATATAGGCAATGATCTGTTATGCTAATGTGTGCTGCAGCAAACGACACTGCAACTGTCTGCGGCTCCCAGAGAGAAAAGAGAGAGAGAGAGGCTCAGATGTTCTTGAAAGCATTTTGGAAACAGTGGAAATGCACTGAGTTGTGCGGCTTACACATGCTGAAGCTGAGGCTAATGGAACTGACAGTGAAAAGCGTCATATCGAGGCGATATGGATTCTGCTGCGTTACCCGCCCCTGAGGAATGCTGAATCAAACTATGAACATGTGGGCCGGAAAATACAGTTAATTGTTTCATTTCAGTCTTCGTTTAAAATGCTTCGGTTGCTCTGCACAGAAAGCCAATAAGCCAA